CACACACACACACACACACACACACACACACACACACACACGCATGCTCCTTGTCAGTTCAGCCCCCGGACACCCTCTGAGCCCCGAGCGTGAGCATAGCAGAACTGGCTTCCTGGCTGTGCCCAGCGCCCTCTGGGGTGAGGCTCTCCTGGGCTGGGAGCCCGGTCAGCTGGCTTCCCCAGGCGTGACTGCTCTCTGAAAAAGATGGGAGACAGGGATGTTTCAGCGTGGGATCCTGGGACTGCTTAAAGCCTGGCTCTCTCTGTGGACTGTGGGTGAGGGACAGGGTGTCTGCAGCCCCTGCTTCTCTACAGAAGAAGCCCAGCCCACCCATGAGTGGAGGTCACACTGGTGGCACAGACACTTCCAGCCGTTATACAGGGTCAGAGGTCAGTCAAGGATGAGAAGGCATGACACTGGGTTTCCAGTCGGGCAGTAGCCGGGCACTGGGGTGGGCAGGGTGAACCGCTCCGGAGGCTGAATGCACCATGCCCGTTGTACGTACATTCAGCCGGTGCCACAGGGGAGGTAGGTGGCAGTGTCTGGAATCACGGAGCTGCTGGTGGGAGACCCGCCCTTCCTGAGAGTACAGGGACCAGGGCTTGGGTGGGAACCCACCACTGACAGTGAGCCTGCCAGACACCTCGGCCCTTCCTGATGAGTGACTGCCAGGGGGACGGCGGCCGAGCTGACTCAGGGGACAGGGAGGGCCTGGGTCTACCCTGTGAGCATGACCCCACTTTGGGATGTGGCAGTCAGGGGAGCAGTGGTCGAGGTGGCCCTGGAGGGGTGGTAGTGGTGGTGGCGGCTGGGTCTATCCTGTCTGTGTATGTGGACTCCATATGCTGGCCCCTCCCCATAGAAAACCCACATCTACCCCCAGGACGAGAGACGGTCACCCCCGAGCCCCCCCCCACGCTCTGTGGTTTGGGAAATTCTGACGCATTTTCACACAAAACAGGAAAACATGGCCGCTGCCATGAAACCTGTCTGGGGCTGAGGCCCCTTTCCCCAAGGCTCCAAGGTGAGGGAACTCAGAAGGGGGTCCACTCACCCCCACTCCTCCCCCTCCCCGTAGGCTGAGCCTCCCCTCCCTGCCCCCAGCCTCTGCAGTCCCAGCCCCCACTGGGGTGCCTATTCCCAGAAGCCCAGGAGGGCTGTTAGAGTGGGGATGTGTGCTTCATGGCATGGGGAGGGGCTGGGGCTCACTTCCCCTGCCCCCACCCTGCACCCCGCTGGGTCCAGAATTAGCCACACCCTGAGGACAGAGGAAGCTGCCCCACTAGCCGTCCCAGGACTGAGCAGCATTGACACATGCAGACTGCTTTCTGCTCACACCCGGGCTCTGCTCTGCCCCTGCCCATCTCAGCAGCTGCTCCCACCATCCTGGGGCCTCGCTGGTCCTCCTGTCACCGATGTCCCTCTTATTAACAGCCTCCTGGTCACATGGGCCACAAGCCCCATTACCGTTCTCACCGAATGGCTGGCTATGGCAGGCAGGACAGCTGGCGTGGGGGCCACACAGCTGCCTGGGGACACCAGCAGACAATGGCACTGTGGGGGGAGGGGCCAAGGCTTCAGTTATGGCTCAGCTCTGCTCCACAGGACTGGCCGGGCTTCAGAGGTGCAGGTCCCTTCGGTACAGGGTCCCCTCGGCACAGGGTCCGCTTGACAGACCCCCAGCACAAGATCCCCTTGGCACGGCACCCCACCGCACCCATTCCCCTGAACAAAATACTGTCTGGGGCTGAGGCCCCTGTCCCCAGGGCTATAAGGTAAGGGAGCTCACAAAGTGTGCCCACTCACACGGCTCCAAGCTGGGCCTCCCCTCTCCCAGCCCCCAGGCCTGCAATCCTGGCCCCAATGGTGCACCCAGTTCAAGAAGGCCCTGCAGTGGTCCAGGGAGGGCCATTAGAGCAGGGGGCACAGACCCCCTCAGCCCAAGGTCCCTCAGAGCATGGCCCTGAGCATCTGCTGGCCCTTGGTCAGCCTCTCACCTCCTCCTTCCATTTGTTTCTGTGTCTTGCCCAGCACTCGGGGAAGGGAGGGGGGGTGGGTAGGGGGATGCACTGGGCTGTGCAGGGAGGACACGATACTAACACACAAAGGCACCTTTGTTTTGGATTGAACAATAGACTGTATGTCAACGGATATGTTGGAATGAGTAAGGCATGTCAATTAAAACATTATTAAAAATAAATAAATAAATAAATATTTATAAATAGATAGACAACCAAACAAATAAATAACCAAGGCTCCTGATCGCCACGGGGGCTAATGGCCAGTTAATCACCGCATTCCCAGGAGAGTGGGTTACTTTAGCACTGCTGCCGCCAGGCTGAGGACAGCTCCTGCCTGGAGCCTCCAGACAGACAGTGGGCAGGGATGGGGGTGAACTCTGTCCCTGGGGACTAGGAGCATGGCACTGCCCCCTCCCTGACTCCCAGTAGGTGTGGCACAAGGGACGGAGTCACTCCACTCAGGACGAGCTGACCACAGAGGAGGGCCAAGTTCAATCGGGTCTTGAACCACAAAGAGGAGGTGTGCGCATGGGCTGGGGGCGAGCGGACACTGGGGGCTCTGGCAAAGGCACGGTGGGCAAGAAGCCAGGACGCTGAAAGAACACGTCCATGCCGCCCGAAGTCAGGAGCCAAAAACAAGGCTCCAGGAATTGATGGAATACTGCGTGACATGGTTCAACAAGCTGACGGAGCACTTGCTCGTCTGTCCCAGGAAATCTGGAAGACAGCTACTGGGCCAGTGACTGGAAGAGATCCCTATTTGTACGCCTTCCGGAGGAAGGTGACCGCACAGATTGTGGCGATTATCAGACAGTATCACTGGTATAGCACACAGGGAAATGTTGCTAGAGATCTTTCCACAATGGTTGCCGCGGGACATCGACAGGGAGCAGCCAGCAACCTCAGGCGGATTCGGAGGAGAATGTGGAACGAGGGACAGCATTACCGACGTCAGCTGGATCTTGGCTGGCAGCAGAGAAAATGCTGAAAGACGCACTTGTGTCTTATGTACGACACAAAGGCATTTGGCTGTGTAGATGAGGACAAGCTGCGGCCATCATCGAGAGGAACGGGGATTCCATAACACTTCACTGTGCTCACGTGGAACCTGCACGTGGGTCAAGAGGCAGTTGCGGGAACAAAAGCAGGAAAGGCGTGTGTTGGGGTTGCACCCTCCCGCCACAGTCGCTGAGTCTGCACGCTGAGCAGATCATCAGAGAAGCTGTGGAAATGAAGACGCGTGCAGCACCAGGATTGGAGGGAGGCTTGTTAGCAAACTGGACTATGTAGGGGACACAGCCTTGCTGCGGAAAGACAGGAGGGTGTGTAGTGCTTGCCGAGGAAGATCAAGGACTGCAGCCGTCAGAATGGATGACAGCTCCATGTGAGGATGACCAGAACCTCACACTGGACCCATAGGTGACATCAGGATAAACCGAGAGAAGGCTAACGTTGTCAAGGATCTCGTCTTGCTTGGGTCCACAAGCAGTGCTCGTGGAAGCAGTAGTCAGAGGTCAAACGACACACTGCATGGGGTCAGTCTGCTGCACACAACTTCTCTCAAGTGCTGAAGAGCAAGGGTGTTACTTTGAGGACTAAGGTGTGCCTGACCCACGTCACGGTGTTTTCAGTCGTGTCCTCTGCCTGTGTGAGTTGGAGCTTAACTAAGGGAGACCAAGGGAGAGAGGGTACAGGCGAATGATGTGCTGGGGAGACCAGGGACAGCACGCCGGCCTGCCGGAAGGACACACAGAGCTGTCCTGGAAGAAGGATGGCCAGAGTGCTCCTTAGAAGCGTGGACGGCGAGACTTTGTCTCCTGTACTTGGGTTTCAGATTACTCACAGGGTTTTCCTAGAAGGCCATCAGGAGGCGAAGCCTTTGGACATGTCAGCAGAGACCAGTCCCTGGAAGAAGATGCCATGCTTGGTAAAACAGAGGGGTCACCGAAACGAGGAAGACCTTTGGCGAGATGGATTGGCACGGTGGTGGCAACAATGGGTCCAACCATAAGAACAACTGTGGGGATGGTGCTGCGTCCCTTGGGGTGGCCGTGAGGCAGGACCAATGTAAAGACCCCGAGCAGCAGCAATGCTCTTGGGAGACAGCTCCATGCGTGAGCGCTGCACCCACAAGGCTCCCAAGAAGAAAGATGTTGGATGGTGACCCGCTCACTCTTTTTCACACCATCGAGTGGATTCCAACTCACAGAACAGACCTGCCCCTGTCTGTCTGGGAGCAGAAAGCCCCATTTCCCTCTTGCTGGTGGCTTGCTGCCCGTGAAGGCAGTAGTCTTACGTGTCACCCCCTGCAGCACAGAGTGGACACACAGACGCAGATGCTAAAGAAAGACAGGCATGGGGCCAGGGACGAGGCTCTTCTGAGAGTGACTCTGGGGATGGGGTGGGGCGGGGGAAGGTAGAGCAGGGCCCTCCCCCTGGATGGTGCTCACTCCCGCACTAGGAAGCAGGTGTGTGCGGACCTTTCCACACACAGGTGCCCAGGTTCAGCGCCAGGGGCAAGGTGGAGGTTGGCTGGGTCAGGGCGCCCCCATGTGGCATCTCCTTCACTTTAGGGGAGTGGACAAGGAGGGCTCTGGACCACACTGGAGACTGCAGGCTGTCCCCCTCCGGCCATTGCCGGACACCGGTGGGACATGAACAGCATAGTTCTGAGGGTGGGGTTGTCGCTGTCCTGCCTGCTGCCTCCTCCTCTCCCCCTACACATCCCCGCATCTCGTGGGGAAAAACCCACAAGTCCTACAACTCTCCCATAGTCCCACCACGAGAGTCACAGGAGGCACGGGCTGTCACTGCTCTCCTCGACCCCCCACAGTAACCCAGCAGACAGCCAGCTGGGTCCCCCACACAGGCTCACAAGGATGTCTGGGCTGGGTGCCACAGTGTGGCCTAGGGCCAGTCCCTCCCAGCCCAGAGCAGACAGGTGCCAGGCCCAGGGGCATAGTGAGCAGACGGTCAGTGGGCACATCCCACCCCAGCCCTGGCCCCAGTAGCAGCTCCCTAACCCAGGATCGGCTGGATGCCAGGCCGGGGACTCTCGGGCTGTGCTGACCACAGAGACAGCCCCCGCCCTTCCTGACAGGGCCTTGGAAACCAGTCGCTCCCTCTGAAAGCACCCAGGATCACCATGCGGACTCTACCCTGATCATCCACGGGTGGAGTGAGGGGTCAGGCCCCCCATCTTCTGGGTGGGGAGGGCCCCAGCAGGTTCTGGCATGAACCTGCCCACCAGGAGACTCCAACGGGTGGCAGCTCTCCGGGGGTGGGGAACATCTCCCCCTGGCTCTGGGAGAGCAGCTGCCTTACACCCCAGTTTCCCAGCCAGTGAGGGGGGGCTCAGGGTTTTACGCCCTGGGCTGAGCGGGGGAGGCTTTCTTCTTGGATGCTCTGGTTGGGGAAGATGGGACAGGAGACAGACCCCCGGTTGGGCGGGGAGTGGGGGGCAGGGTGATGGTGGCCACCAGGTTCACGAGGCTCCACCAGTGACCCCTCTGACTGAGTGGGGCCAGGCTGGGGACCCACAGGCCCTCTCGGCGCAGGGCATGGGGGAGGCTGGATGCAGCAGCATCTCCTTACCTGAGGCCAAGAGTTTGGGGCTCCCTCATGTCCACCGAGCTGCAGGTGCACGGCTGACCCCTCGGCGGAGCTGATGGACTCCCAGGTCCCTGGGCGGGGACCCTCTGAGGTCCCTGGCTGCCCCGCGGGCTTCTCTGGTCTCTGTTCCCTGAGGGTCAGGTTCTTGCTGCTCAAGTGTCCTTGTTGCTGGTTTCTGTCCTCGGGCACCCAGCCTTCCCCTTCCTCACTTGAGTGGTCAGTGTAGGGCCCTGGGCCCTGGCTCCGGCATGGGGGACACGGAGGACGCTTGGCAAGGGGAGGGACTTGGGTCGCTCATGGGATGCCCGTCTTGATGGTGGGCTCTGTCTGTCTATTCGGCCAGCAGGTCAAGACACTGGGGAGTGGCACAGTGTTGTGGAGGTCCGGTGGTGTCTGTGTTGGGGATGGGGTGGGGTGGTTGTGTCCTCCTGGGGGACATGCCCACCATGGAGTGACTGTGTCACGGGTCTCATCTGGCCATCAGGGGCCAGCCCAGCTCTTCCTGAAACCCTTCCCAGGGACGGGGACCAGTCACAGCCAGCCAGGGGCTGCTCACAGCAGGTCTGGAGGATGGGGACCAGTCACAGCCAGCCAGGGGCTGCTCACAGCAGCCCTGGGGGACAGGAACTAGTCAGACAGCCACAGGTGCTGCTCACAGCAGCTCTGGAGACCGCAAGGCAGTGGGGGTCTTGCTTGGCTGGGCTGTGTGAGGGGGCCATCTAGGCAGCTGCCAGCGCAGCCCAGGGTGCCCCATGGGGAGCCCTTCAGACATCGGGCACCAATAGCCCTCTCAGAGGCATTCCAGAAAGTTCCACGTTGGCGTGGTCCCCCCTCAGCCCCTCTTCCTCAGCAGGGAAGGGTTCCAGCTGGTCAGGTCCTCTCCGGCCTTCAGGGACACACTGCCAGGCTCCGTTCTCCCAGCTGGGCAAGTGCTGCTCCCTGCTCCCCTGGGTGGGGAGGGGTCTGTGCTCGCCAGGGGCTGCAATGATGGAGAGTGGGGTCAGGGGTGGGGGTGTGTGCAGGAGAGGGAGCAGTCACAGTGGGGGTTTGGCAACAGCTGGCCACCTGCTTCCCAGTCCAAGACCCTTAGGCACAGGTACCACAGGATGCTGTGTACATGCCCTCCTACAGGGGCGTATCACTGCAGGGGTCCTGCCCCCCTCCTCTCCCTGTGCCCCTCTTATAGCAGACCCCTCTGGAGGCCAGGCCCCGGAGCCCAGGGTCCCCTGCACCCACCAGAGGAGTGCTGGGTGCTCCCCCAGGCCGAACCAAGCCGGGTGTACTCACCACGCCCAGGGGCCAGGA